GCCCCCGGAGCGAGCGCGCGGGTCTGCAGCGTCACACGGCACTGCCAGGCTTGGCCGGGAAGCGGCAGCCACTTTTACAGAGCACCAGTCACTTGCAGGCGCTGAAGCAGAATGGAATAAAAATGGGAATTGAAATAAGCACATTTTGCAGGCTCAGAGAAGAGACGGTTGGTCTGTGCCTTGTCGTACAACATACAGATCACTGAACACGGCGTGTTGAGTGCTATGGAAGGGGAGATCTGCTTTTGCTGGGCACTTTTTGCATCTCCTCTTCCTTCGAGACTACGTCCCTCTTTGTGCAGGCAGGAGCACCACTCTTAACAAATCATCATCAGTAACGACAAACAGTTTGCAAGACGCTGCTGGCAGAGGCACTGCAAAACTCCCATGGACAGAGCTGTGTTTCAGCCCACGTTTCTGACCAGCAGCTTCTCTGGAGCAAGGAGACATGAGATGTTCTGAGTATCCCCGAGAGCAGAGCAAATGAAACAGGCTGAGTCCAACCCCACCAGATACTAGTGTCTCCCCAGCTTCTTGTTCCCAAGGACAGAAATAATCTTTTGAAGGCTTTTCACAGGGAGAACGTGCACACGCAAGATCAAATGCTAAGGCAAAGGGCGGCTCCCAAAAAGGTTCAGCTGGTAGATTGCCAAGGGAGCCTAAATAACAGGGTGCAAAAGGAGGCTACGCAGCTCCTGCTGTCTCACGCTGTTTGGCTAATGCAAGCCAGCGCTGTACCTCTGCCACCGAATGCCACTGCCCCTTGCGTCTTAAACACGCACGTAATTTATACATCCATCAGCTATAGCACGCAGAGCCGTTGCAGCACTACACGTGCCAGAGTAGAGACGAGGCAGAGCAGGGCGAGGAAGAGCAGCGAGGCCGAGGCCTGAGGTCCTGCAGGAGCAACAGCCACCGTCCTGCACAGGGACGAGCTGGACGCAGGCAGCCCACGGCCTCCTCCTCGCAGCGCGTTCATCCAACGGCTCCTCGTGGGCAGAGCAGGAACGATCGGAGCGGAAGTCGGGATCCTTCGTTAGCACCGCCGGCATTGGATATTGCACGCTTTTGCCGTCCTCCACCAAGATCCCCACGTTCTGGGCTCGAGTTTCAGAGGCGAAAGCTTTGGCTTATCGATTCATTTGGCCCACGGAGCGGAAAACCCCAGCTCATCTCGCCGATTTATCCTGATACCTCTGATATAGGCACTCTGCCGCCCATTTTCTGCATTGCCCAACAGCCTGTTGATTTTGCAGCATTGAAGGCACAGCCATGCCACAACTTTTCCAGGGGGCAAGGTGGGGGGGGGGGGAAGGGGGGAAGAAAAAGAAATGAAAACAAGCTTGAATTTATGTAAAAAAAAATTTATTTTGGAGGAGGATTTGAACATCGACATGCAGGTACAACATGAATAAAAATTATTGCACCGCTATTATGTGGCAATTGTTCAAGTTTCTAAAAACACGTAAATTCCACACTTTTCTCTTATCTAGCTAAGTGCTGAGTGACACAGCTTGACAGAGCCCAGCTTAAAAGGTGCTCTCAAGCCACCTGGATATGGTAATTGAACACAACGTAAACACACACTTCTGTCAAATCTTCTACTAGAAGTACAGAATTATCCTTCACATCCAGTAAGAGAAAACCAGAGAAAGACTTTATCCTCCCCTCTTCGGAAGAAAAAAAATACTCCAAATCACACCTTTATGCAAGTGTGGAAACCACAACCACTGCTCACTCCTTCCCACTCCCCCAGCAAGCGCTCTTTAGTATATTAGCAGCCAAAGGCCTCTGACATTCAGACCCAGGAGTGGCCATTACAATGCTAACGTCTAATATTTACAATAAATATCATCCATTTCTCCTCGTTTGCAACAGTAAGAGACAAAGGGGAAAGTAACACTGAAATGAGGCACCGTGCAGGACTGCATTGGCTGGACACAGAAATGAAGAAATGCAAGGACTGGAACTAACTTCTACTCTGTAATTCCAAAACCGAAGAGAGGCAAGAAACGCATCCAAACCAAAAAAAATGAAACGGGAAAAAGAATCAGGAAAGCAACACATTTAGATGGTTGTGTGCGTATCTCATTCACCAAACACACAGCACACACGCACACCCTTTTCCCTCCTACCTAACCTGACTCAGTGTTATTTAAGGAGGCCAAATTCTCAGCCTGCCGAATGCTTCCTTCAGGCAACGTGGGTCACGTCTTGCACGTGGGAAAAGCTACACACCGCACCCGCGCACATAAACACACTCTCGCTCTTCACATACAGGATTTTCCAACATCTCATCACCTCGCCCCCTCCCAAGTTTGCAAGGTTATCTGAGAAACTATTTAAGCAATACTTAGCAGAGCAGGTAAGAAATATTGGTGTATGTATCTGCTTCAGTATCGCATTTTCATAGGGAAAAGACCTCTTACTGAAAAGCTTCGCTACGACGCACCACATGCACTTGAAAGAACGTGTAACCGGGGAGAGAGCGCACCTGGAGGGCATACGGAGGGCAGTTCTAGGAGTGACAGCGGATAGGAGGCTTCACTAGGAACACGTGCTTTCCTGGTAATGCTGTTTGGCTTTGGCTTCCAAAAAGACAGGTTTTTAAAATTGCACTGGTCACTGTCTGTACCGTAGCTACAAAAGAGGTGACTAAATATATATCTCACCTCTTCTTTGGCCAATTCAGGCAAAAGCAGCAAAAGCTGTGACACACCAAGGTTTTTCACCCATCTCAAAAAAAGGGCAACACTGAAACTCACCACTGGAACTACTGGCTGCAAAGAGAGGGAGCCAGCAGCTAACGCAGCTGGTACCTTTAGACGGTCACATCCCAATCTGCACACTACCCACAACAGGTATCTGTGACCCCAGCAGACCTGGCACAGACATAACTGAAACCCCTTCCCCGGGCTAGTGCTGCCGCAACACTCGAGTACCGTGCATTCAGAGGCGCTAGAGTACGCTGTGCATCGTGGAAAGTGGGGTTTTGGTCCTCCTTCCCCTCATTTATAGTGCCCTGGAAGAGGATTTAATATACACGTAGAGAAACGCAAACAGCATTTTCCTTTTCTCCTAAACTGGAAAACTCGTTCATCAGAGAGGATGGATACACCAAGTGTCACTCTGCATCGCTGTCCCCCCCCTCATATCCCACCTATTTTAAGCAGCCCCAGGAACTCCCTGCTCCCATATTTAAGCCAGCTCAGCTAATGAGCTGAGCTGAACGCTCAGAATGACTGAGGTTAAAAAGGCCTCTCTCAAGAGCTGTGGCTTGCTTCCCCCTTAACTTTTTTAAACTCAGATCCCCTCACGGACGCCCTGAGACCACACTCACAGAATAAGCTGTCTCTCCAAGCTGGAGGAGACGGGGACACGCAGAAGATCCCCCCCCACAGGGACAGCAAGGTTAAACCACGTTCTCACGCAACTCTGGACTCACTACTTATTTTACACAGAGACTTCCATGGGCTACATCTTGCCAAGGCTGGGCGCTCTCTAGAGATAAACTTGAGATTCACCTTCAAAATTACCACAGATTCATGATGCTGAATCCATTTTTCATTATTCCTGTGAATTTTATTTGATGCTGCACTGCCAATCAGACCTTGTTTCTCAGCAATTTTGTTAGTCGATCAGCCCATCAGATCCTGCCAAGTCTGTTCCTTACTTGCTATTGCTCCAAAATCAGCACAGAACGATACTCATCAATAAGAGTCCTTTGAAAGGCTGGAGATACCCAGGACCCTGACAGGTTGGTGGAAATAACGTGGCTTATAATTGCAAACTGAGTGTATGCGAATAGCCTACGAATTCCAGCAGAAAGAGCAAAGAGACAGTCCAGCAGGCCCTGCTCTCAATACTGTCACAGCAAGATTTATTTACATGTTATCTGGGAGCTTGGAGGCTTTTGCTAGTGTATTAGAAACACCACACATGTTCACACAGACACACAGAGTAAACACTAGTTTAAACACGTTTAAAAAAAAGCTCAAACCAAATCAAAACTTGGTCCAGAAATGAAATCCAAGCAGCCAAAGATCAGGTATAGATTAGAAAAAAATCGTTATGCAGAAAGGGACAGGGCGAGATTACAGAGATTTTGTTGTGATCTCTGGATTGCGTTGAAATCAAGTCAAAAAGAGATGGAAAAAATATATTCCTATATAAAAACCATATTTACATTTAGGGAAAGTGAATCAAAACTTCAAGTTTCAAAGAGGTTGAGACAATGGAAAAGGCAGCAGTATAACGAAATCAGACCAACAGATGCAGTTTTTAGCCTTGAGACACTGTTGCACAGTCATTCTGCTTCTAACAGAGTAAGCCAGTGAGCAGGATACTAGATACTGACGGTGATGCACAGGAAGATATACTCAGATAGGACTAGAATAAAAGTTGAGCACAATCTGGGGAAAATGACGGGAGCGTTCATTGACAGTAACCTTTAACTGGATGAAGAAATGTCTTACAGTGCTATAGGTATCACCATTCAACACATTTACTGGTGTATTATTATTGATGTAATCCTCAGCAAAGAGCACTGTTATCCAGAGTCAGTCACATTCAAAGCAAAGCAATGTCTAAACCTAAGCAATAGCAATTTTTAAAGGAACCAAGTGACCTCAGCAGTGGAAATGATCTAGCTGTCAAAGCTGAAATCATGAAATATCACATGTGTTTTGAAGTCTGCTTGCAGCTTGTCCACAGAACTCAAGGAGTCAGAACTCCTCTTAGGAGTTTTTTTTTTTTTTTTTTTTTTAAAACAGGCAGATTTGGAAAACTCAGCAAGTTTCCCAAGCCCTAGTTCAGAACTATTAAGGAACACCTTAAAATCCCTACCTATTTAGACTCACTAAGAGAAGGAGAAGTCTCCTAAGCTCATTTATCACTGAGGTAACTTTGCCCAAGCCATACTGAAGAACACAGGACTACAAATTTCTATACTTGAAAAATCAACCTACAAGGCACCCCCTTCCTGGGGGTCATTTATTCTGAGGCAGGGCAAGTTACAAATTAAGCCAGAGAAGATAAGATAAAACATTATTAAAATTTTAAAAACAGAGGGAAGAGTTGCCATGTGTTCCATAAAGGATAAGTAAAAACAATCAACTCTCCTCCCCAAAAAAGAAAACAGTTTACAGATTGGAAGTTTTTTTCTCTGATAACTCAATTGAAAAATATTTGTAATTGGTTTAAAGAGAAGACAGGGATATCCCTCTGTCTGATCCCTCCACCCTAGCCTAAGGATATGGAGGCGAGGGACTCAAAGGTGTACGTAGGACTGTAAATGCATACAGTGACAAAGAGGCCCTAGTTGCGTTGAAGAGGTTTGTATTTCCAGAATAACTCATGGACAAGAGAGTATTTTCTTCTCCTTGTCAAAGAAAACTGGCTTGTAAATTCAGAGCAAACACTTGGAATTTGTGGATTTCAAGGACGTTTAAAGAGAAGGTTGAAAAGCACAGATTTTAAAGTAGGCTGCCTTTTTTGCGCTCAGAATTTTTGGGATCTCAAATCAACGCAGAACTGGAGAGAAGAGCACAAAAGGCCCTAAACTCAGGGCAAAACAAAAGGGCAGGAAGGGGAAAACCAGCAAATTGTTTCTTAAGCCCTGCTTTAAAGATACCCTGTTCTAAAGAGACCTCAAATGGCAAGCGTTACTGTGTACAAAAATAGAATAGCAAGGATGAAAAAACACAAAAAACAGTATGAAAAAACCCTCCCAAAAATAGATGTACACAAGTTCTATTTTATATTAGTGTATATTACAAAATTCAAACATGCAGTCTCTATTTTGAATGTGGAACGCTCCAGTCCATGTGTACCAGGGGTGCTGCTATGTTTTCTTCACAGCACCATCATGTGACAGAGGAAAGTCTTGTCCTTTTAACTGGCTTCCAACCTCTTTGCTTTTTCCTTGCGTGAGAGTCCCATCTTTACAGGGCCTCGTGCTGCCATCTGGCAGAGGAGAGGCCCTCAGAACGGGCTGTCCCAGAGTGTGCGATAGCTCCTTTGAGGGAACACTTTTGCAGCTACTTCCCAAAGCTTCGGATGATTTAGAACTGCAAAAAGTTGGCTCTTTTTTTGCCCCCGTGGGACACGCCACCTCCCACGGCTTCGCTGCGTGCAACAACTCTGTGCAGGAGCCGCTTCTTGTGGCCAGGCTGCCGGTGCTAGGAGGTTTGGCTCTCTCTTGACATGGTCCTGCCTGTAAAGTTTCCTGCTTTTTTTGTTTTGAATCCCTCTCCTCTTTACAGGAGGCACCCGAATGGGAGAAATCCTTCCTCTTTTCCAGCTCACCAGAACTAGCCATACTGAGCTTCAGAGGGCCCAAAACACTCTGTGCTAGCGGTACTAAATGGGACACGGAGAGTGCTCTTTCAATAGCGCTGGAGACAAGAAGCGGGGAGGACATCGTACCTGGGGCACTGCCCTGGCTCATTTTGCTAGCAGCTGAAACACACTCTGCCTGGGACAAGCTGGGTTGTTCTTCAGTACTAGGACTTTGGGGGGGTGTTTCACTCCTGCTTGCGGCATACAGAAAGGAGCTGCTGTGCTCTGCAGGCTGCGGTGTCTCTTTGCGATCCTGAGGGTCACTGCTGTCCCCACGGCTCAGTGAGAGCGTAACGCTCGCACTTGCCGTGCAACACGGAGAAAGAGCCAGCAGAGGTTTAGAGTCCTTTTTCTGACGGATTTCTGTTAGCAGAGAGTCTTTCAGGTTAAGCTTACCACACGAGGCCCCTGAAGAGTCACCTTGTTCAAGTTCAAGAGGTTTCATGGAAGTGCACTGTATATGTTCTGTGCGAACTATTGTTTTTGGAGCACTAGCAGTTTTCCCTAGGTCTTTGATTGCTTCACAAGACTTGTCTTCTTGACTAAAATACTCGGAAGTTTTGCTTTCTGGCAATTTATGTTCCTTTGCAGTCGTTTCTGATCTTAGGAGTGGTTTTTCTGAGCTGGCTAATTTTTCTGGAGAAGTTCTTGGGAGGGCCTCTGATGGGAAAGGGTGCACACTAGTTTGCAGGAGCTCTGAAACAACCTTGGCTTGCTTATTATTTACCTTCTGCAGATCTTCTGTACCTTTTGGATCTTCAGGTAGAAAGGCATCATCTTCAATGCTATCCTTGCTTTCCAATTTAGAGGAAAACTTATCCTCATTAAAAGAATCTGAGCCTTGGTCTCCATTGTCAGGTGGCTTGTCCAGTCTTCTTCCATCCTGACTGTCCTCTGAACCATCATCCGTTTCATCTTCTGAGGAATCTACTTCTCTTATGGCCTCCTGCTTTTGCAGAGACTCCCTCCTCTCCACTCTGTCTTGTCGAATAGCACCCAGCTTCCTGGAGCCTGGCTTCTGCAACATCCCCTTTTCTGCTAGTCCAAGTTTTCCGCCTGTTGTTTCATTTGCAGATTCTTGTAAGCTCTGGAGACTAGGATCCCTCTGTAGCATCTCCTTTTTAAATTCAGAATGAGAAATATCCAAACTATGCTTTCGCGAGGAAGCCAGCTTCTTCTCAGAAGACGACAGTGAGGCAGCCAGTTTCTCTGCTGACTGGACTCTCTTCAGCAAAGGAGACCTAGGGGGCTCAGCACTTTTGGGCCGAGAAATTTGTCTCACCAACGGTGGAGAGGAGTGTAGTTTTACTGGAAACGACTGAATAATACTGGAGCTGCCAACCGAATGCCCCGGTAAAGGAGAAGGGGAGCGCTGCGGGGATGTGGACTGTGGCGTTGGTGATGGAGTGTGAGCTAGTGGCGACAGAGGGATATTTCCTGCAGATTTACGCCTCGGAGATCTATACTGCCTTTGAAGCTTTGGTGCCAGTCCATGCAGAGAACTGGGCCGGATGTGTCCAGAGCTGGCTGGAGAATTGGGGACACTGGAACTGGGAGAGCTGCTCTGGGAAGAATTGCCACCAACTTAAAAAAAAGGAAGAAAAAAAAGGACCAAAAAGATTACTACATATTTGACTATTAAAACAAGTCCCTGGAAATAAGATACTCAAAGGCGACACAAAACGCTATGCTATTATAAAACAGTAACAGTAATATTACAAGGTAACACTCTACGGCCTCCATTGAAAATTCACATCGTCGCCACAATACCAGAACACAGGAAGAAACATTCTGCTACCAGAACGTTTTCTCTGCAAAAACGCCAAGCTGATAAATCTTGTGTTTCAATGCTGTTCTCAGGATGCAAATCCCTTTATTCTGTCAGCTAATCTCATTCTCAAATACGACTTTTCCATAGTGTTTTGATTCCTTTTTTCAGAACTAATACAGAAAATGTGTCAAACTGCTATAAAAACATTGCAACTTACAACACATATTTGCATCAAAGCAAAAGGATAGCGTAGCTCAGCACTCGCACTCTTAAAAAGATGCATGGATTTTCATTTTTTTTTCCCCATGAATAAACGAACGAGAATACATCCATGCTTAAGGTAACCTATGTAGCAGTTGTCATTTTACTTCAAAATCAGATCTACTACCTGCTGCTGTGTATTGTACCTCAACAATAAATCAGTAAGTAACAATTTTTTTTCTTTTACCTGAGTGTACAGACTCGGGTGTGGATCTGTAACTCTGGGTAGGTGATCGAGGAGATAGGTTGTGAGTTGGAGAACCAGGTACACTTTCTCCAGAAGAGAGCGAGCGGTTTAGAGAAGACAAACTACGACTGGTATGAAGTAGTGATGCTTGTTTAGTGATCTTCCTGAACAAAGAACTCTTCTTCTTACTGTGGAAAAGCATTAAAAAGCTATTTACAAACCCAAATGACTTACTTATATTTACTGGCACGTTTCAGTCAATTTAATAGCACAGTTAAAGAACAAAAGAAAACAAAAAGAAAGAAAAAACAGAGAGTGTTCCTGCTGGCAGGCATCCTCTGCAAATTGCTTTGACAAGATCCCTGTTACATTATCTTGGTTGCTACCCAATTTCCACAGAGAAACATCAACACTAACCTTTCCTGACCATCCTTAGTTTTGCTTTTCTTGTTCCTACGAGCCATCTTGGATTTGTAGCTGGCCTTTCGAGCTGGCCCAACTTTGATCGACGTGTTCTCAAATGGCGTGGTTGAGATGGACACTTTATTTCCACTCTATCAGAAACAACAAGCAGACACGGTTTAAAACATGGCTTTTCGAAGCAGATCTGCAGGCTAAGCAGGTAAACAGCTTGTTTATTACTGACTACCATTTTGTAATTCTATGTCAAACTCCATTTCCCTCTTTGCATTTCCACCTATCATTTATTAAGGAAGAGCTGAGAGAGAGCCCTCTTTAGTCAGGCTTTCACAAATGATTAAGTCAGATCCCAGCTGGTGGGTAAAGCTTCCCACAGCAGAGGGAACATGGCATCTGACCTCTCCCACTGACATTCCAACTGCCTCAGTTTAATTCTTAAACAGCATCGAAATGCAATGGTGCTAGACACTGAATAAATACTATTAAATGATACCATCAGGCATCTTCTGTTTGGAAACTTGAACAAAGTGATATTCCGTCATCAGTCCTACTCGCTATTTCCAGTGCTCTGACTGATGGCAGATGTGAGCGTATCGGGCATCTGTCAAGACGAATCTGTACCACAGAGCATGGCTTGTCTCACTCAACTCGGAAAAAAAATACTGCTCCTGTATTTGCAATCCCAAAGACTTCTTGGAACTGTCCAAAACTTCAGGTTTTATTTACATAAATGAATTCAGCTCAGAGGACGTATCAAAACGCAAGTCATTTAACTGGATAATTTTAAGACCAACCATTACAAAGCTGCTTTTAAATACCACTGGGAATAATCCTTGAGAAAGTAGTCTTAAGAGCTAATAACATTAGCACAGCCTAAAGCCAAAAAAAAAAAAAAGGGGGGGGGGGGGGGAGAGAAAGAAAAAGTAATTGAGAAATTTTTGCAGGTATTGGCTTCTTAAAGTGACGTTTGAGGAAAGGCATACTTAAATCTTAATAACCTTTGTCGCTGATGCTACTAACAATGCATCTGGCAGGTCTTTATTTCTCACAGGAAATGTTGGAATTCAGCTTAAATTATGTGCAGACAATTTTGCAGATACAGGGATCAGACTACAGCAGTGAGTTTTTGCAAAACAAAGGCCAGGTGCCATGTGCTTACTTTGTATTTCAGACAATGGAAATTAGTTATAGCTATAGTGTTTTACACAAGCTGTTTCATATTACCTATTTTCCAAAACCACACAGTGCTGACTGCCTACCTTCAGGATCAGCTCCACCACTTCTGTGTGCACCAGTCCATGGACAGGCTCCCCGTTGACATGGGTTATCAGATCCCCTTCACGCAGGCCTGCTTCGTTAGCCGGACCGCCTTCCTCCACGTGCTGGCAACGAGAAGGGAACGACCGATTTGAGAAGAGGAAAGTACAAGATTGCTGGCCAGATTGGACTCACAGCCCATCCGGCTTGTCTTGTGCTGTGGCCAGCATCGGCTGCTTCACAGGTGGTAGAAGAAACCGTTGACTGGCACAGTCAAAACCATGGTTCTGCGCTCTTCCTCTCCTCCCCCAGCTCCCTGGCAGTCGTCTCCTGATCTGAGGCAGAGGTCCAGGATGGCTAAGCTGATCAAAAGACCAGCTCCTTCCAAAAGCAGGAGTCTTAACACTCCTCCAAAAACATTCATCACTCAGAAATGATAACTGAATACTCCTGATTTCCAGGTAAGTATTCAATCTTTTTCAAGTCCTTTGCCACCCCAAATCCAGCAGCCTAACACATACATGCTAGTATCTGAGAAGGCCGATAGGCTTTTAAATAAGACTCCACGCCATGCGTTTAGGTTGTCTATATGGCATCTAATCCCAGACTTTTCCCACCTTCCAACCCTTATTAACCTGTGCAACATAAGATCTTTTGCCCACCGACAATGCTGCCTCTCTCCCATCAATGTGCAGAAAGGTGAGCCTCCTTTAAAGTGAGGTGACAGTTATGCTTGAGAATACTTCAGCTTTCCCTCCAGCCAGAAAAAGTTACAAATCACTATCTTGATAAATTCAGCATTTTCCAAGGACAGCAGAGAGGAGCAAGGGAAGAAATGCAGCTGCAGATTATTTTTGTATGCACAAATGAGTGTTAAATGGTGATCAACAAATATGAAGTCCAAATTATCTAATGAACACAGAGATGCATGGAAAAGAATGAACTACCTTTACCCTGACTCCCTTCTTCTCTCTAACTACAAAACAATTCACATAACGCTGCTTCAGGGAGAGGATCATTCCTAAAAGCCATATACGTTACCAAACGACACAGAGATCAAGTAAGTACCAGCATTTACGGGAAGGAAGAGATACGGACATGGAAACCAAACCCTGTGAGACCAGCGCACGGCTCAACCGAGAGCTAAATCCCTAGGTAATCAGCACAGCAGCACAATGCTTTAAGGCATTGGTAATCAGTTCCAAGCATCTGCTTTGAAAACCCCGGCAGGCTGAACTGATCCGAAGCAGACTATCATCACTAACCCAGGTCCGAAAAAATTAGCTGTAACTGACTCTTCATGCAACAACCCCAAAAGAAAGAAAGAGGGTATGTACAAAGAAACATGCTTTAAAACATGAGCTACAGGAGAAAGGAGATGGATTCATGTAACCAGGGAAGAAAGAAAGAAGAAAGGTTGCTGTGATTCTGTGATGGGCTTGAAAGCTGCCACACTTAAACCCAAAGTGCTCTTACTGATTTTTTAAGGGTTTCCCCCATCCCCAAAAGATAACGTTGGGTCCAAATAAGGAGAGCGGAAACACGGTGGCAAAACACAATTTACAAAGCTAGATCCCACAATCTTGGCAGAGAGCATTTCTGGACCCAAGGGTACTCTTGAGAAAAGCAGAGACATACCCAGACCATGTGATGCACAGTGTAGATATCACTGTCACCCATATAGACGCGAATGGCACGGAGAGTGAAACCATATTTCTTTCCAGCCCGATGGATGATGATTGGTGGTTTCAGGTTTGCGATAGCAGGAGAAAAGTCACGGCTGGGTGAGGAGTCCCTCGAAGATGGGTTTGAGGATAGAGAATGAGGTGACATTGGACTAGCCAATGGGGAACACGTGTGGTGATCTACAGCGATGACACAAAGGTGTGCAAAAATTAGGAAACCAGGCCTCCAAGAGAGATAAAATTCTTGTTAGAGAACAGCTAGGAAACCATCTCTCCCCACGCCCTTAAGAGCTGGTGGTCTTCACCAGAGCAGGGCTTTTCCTGCAGCTTTAACTAATCCATGCTACAAATATGAAAATCAGTGGAGTTTCCAAAAAGCACATTTGGTAATATGTATTTAATACAGCAGCTCCACTTGTGTAGAATTATGGTTGGGTCACAGTGTTTACCTCTGTTTCAGGGATTTATAACCCATCATAAATATCGGCTCTAGGCACAATCTTGGAGTATTCCATTTAAAGGTTATGAAATATTACCCCTCTCCAAAAGATCAGATACTTTCTAGATGTTGACGCAAGTTGCTTGTTTGTGCTGAGATAAGTCAGAGCCAGTTAGTATTTTTAAAAAATTGGGAAGTGATCAGACAACAACTACATCTAGGTAATTTTGGTAATGTTTTAAATTCACAGGGTCAAAAATAGTTAAGCCTAAAAAAGTAGCTAATGCAGGAACACTGCTACTTAAAACAACATCACAAGCGTACTTTAGAGCACGTTTCCCAAACGAAGAGCCAGGGATCTCGGTTCTCACTTATGTGGCTGTGACTCAGCTGGGCTACTGATTAAAATACCTGACTCTACTTGCCAGCATAACAATATCTACAAATAAAAAACATAAAGCAAATACAAAACTCTCATTTTAAAGTGAAGCTGGTCAACATCAGTAAAACAACCCCAAACAGTAAAAGTATTAAATGCAGCTGTAAAAAGAAAACCTAAATCCGTTAAAAATTCATCTGCTGAATCACCCAGCACATATTTACCTGGCAGATGAGAGCAGCTCTGGAAGAACCTTTGCTAGGTAATTAAATATCATTTTAGAGATTTTTCAGGACGGAGTTTGTAGTTCACAAAGCAACCATCGCCCAGACCATACGAAATATGGGATATACATCATCCCAATGGTGCCAAGAAGCAATTTCATGGCTGTCTCCAGCCGAGACAGGCGAGGAGGTATTGCTCGACCTCCTGGGCTGGCACTCGGGGCCTGACTGCCATTTCCTGCTCCAACGCAGGCAGGGACAGGTACAGCCCAGAAACATAGGGCCAGGTCTTTTCCTCTGGAAAAAGGGACAAATTCCTGGTAGGGAGAGCCTCACACTGAACCACTCTTTCATAGCTCTGCCTACCTGGGCTGTTCACTAAAAGTTACCATCCAGCCTTGGGAATTGTCAAGGATTGTCTCTGCTTAGAGACAGAGCTGGGCAGCAGCATAAGTTATTCAGCGTTAACCTCCTTCGTGAGTTACGTGCACTTTTGAATTCTTGAACGCTCAAGAGCATTTAACCAAGTTATCTGAAGTTACGGAAACTTCCCGGTGCATGAACGCACCAGACACAGGCAGCTCCCAAAAAAATCACAGTGCTTAGTTGTTAGTATGCGACAACAAAATAGCACCTGGAGGGTTAAAACTGTTCTGTGTCAATATGCCTCCTTGTTACACCCCTGTCTCGGGACTAGCTTATGCTCCAGGAGCCAATTTAAACAAAAAACTACTCCTGGAAACAGTAAGGCCCAGCTGCCGTTTACAGAAGCTGCAGCCAGACCCCACACACGACACTCCTCGTCTTTGGCAAAGCAGTACTCATTATCCTAGTGAGTAGTAAATATTCACCAAGTGTAAAAGTTAGGATCTTTCCCCTCCTGCCAGCTAC